TGTTCTCTCTCTCTCTCTCTCTCTTCCTCTCTCCCTCCCTCCCTCCCTCCATATCTATTCAATATAGTACTCAAAGTTCTAGCTAGAGCAGTAAGGCAACAAAAAGATATCAAAGTGATACAAATTGGAAAAGAAGTCAAAGTTTTACTGTTTGCTGATGATATAGTATACATAAGTGACCCCCAAAATTCTACCAGGGAACTCCTACAACTGATAAATACCTTCAGCGATGTAGCAGGATACAAGATTAACTAAAAAAAAAAAATAAAAAATAAAAAAAAAATAAAGAAATAAAAAAAAATAAAGAAAGAAATCAGTAGCCCTCCTATATACAGATGATTGATAAACAGGCTTAGAAATAAATCAGAGAAATCCTTTACAATAGCCACAAATAAAACACGCTGGGGTAACTCTAACCAAACAAGTGAAAGACATGTATGACAAGAACTTTAGGTCCCAAAACAAAGAAATTGAAGAAGACGTCAGAAAATGGAAAGATCACTTATACTCTTAGATAAGTAGGATTAACACAGTAAAAATGGTAATCTTACCAAAAGCAATTTACAGATTCAATGCAATCCCCATCAAAATTCCAGCACAATTTTTCACAGACCTTGAAAGGACAATACTCAACTTCAGATGGAAACAAAACAAAACAAAACAAAAAAAAAAAATCAAAAACACAATAGCCAAAACAATCCTGTACAATAAAGGAACTTCAAGAGGCATCACTATACCTGACTTCAAACTTTTCTATCAAGCTGCAGTAATGAAAACAGCTTGGTATTGGCATAAAAGCAGACAGGTAGACCAATGGAATTGAATTGAAGACTCACACCTATGAACACCTGATTTTTGACAAAGAAGCTAAAATTATAAAATGAAAAAAAGAGAAAGCATCTTCAACAAATGGTGCTGGCATAACTGGATGTTGACATGTGAAGAATGCAAATAGATCCATACTTATCCCCATGCACAAAACTCAAGTCCAAATGTACCAAAGACCTCAACATAAAACCAACCACGCTGAACCTCACAGAAGAGAAAGTGAGAAGTAGCCTTGAACACATTGGCACAGGAGAATACTTCCTAAATATAACATCAGTAGCACAGACACTGAGAGCAACAATGAATAAATGGGACCTCCTGAAACTCAGAAGCTTCTGCAAAGAAAAGGACATGGTCAATAAGACAAAATGGGAGCCTACAGAATGGGAAAAGATCTTCACCAACCTCACATCTGAAAAAACATACAAAGAACTCAAGAAACTAGACATCAAAAGACCAAATAATCCAGTTTAAAAATGTGGTACAGATCTAAACAGAGAGTTCTCAACAGAAGAAACTCAAATGGCCAAAGACACTTAGGGAAATGCTCAACATCCTTAGCCATCAGGGAAATGCAAATCAAAACAACTCTGGGATACCATCCTACATCTCAGAATGGCCATGATCAAAAACTCTGAGGACAACTCATGCTGAAGAGGATGTGGAGAAAGGGGGACACTCCTCCATTGCTGGTGGGAGTGCAAACTTGTACAGCCACTTTGGAAATCAGTATGGTGGTTCTCAGAAAATTGGGAATCAACCTACCTCAGGACCCAGCAATACCACTTTTGGGCATATATCCAAAGGATGCACACTCACACCACAAGGACATTTGCTCAAATATGTTCATAGCAGCATTATTTGTAATAACCAGAACCAGGAAGCAACCTGGATGCCCCTCAACTGAAGAATGAATAAAGAAAATGCGGTACATTGATACAATGGAGTATTACTGAGCGGTAAAAAAACAAACAAATAACCAATTACATCTTGAAATTTGCAGGTAAATGGATAGAACTAGAAAAAGCTATCCTGGGTGAGGTAACCCACAGAAAGACAAATATGTACACACCCATAAGTGAATATTAGACATAAAACAAAAGACAACCAGCTTACAGGCCACAACCCCAGAGAACCTATGTAAGAAAGAGAATCCTAAGAGAGACATACATGAATCCACCTAGGGAGGGGAAAAAGACAAGATCTCCTGAGTAAATTGGGAGCATTGTGTTGGGGGCGGGGCAGAAGCAGGAGCAGGGAGAGGGTGAAAAAGAAGAGAGGAGGCAAGGGGGTGCAGAAAAATGTATAGCTCAAGGAAAAAAAAAAAAAAAACCAGCTGGTACCTCTAAACACAATTCTGTCTCCCAACTTTTTTTATCTCTTGACCTCAGGGAAATATTATGTACACAACAAAAGAAATCAAGATCCACTGTGCTTATGAGTTGACAAAGGCTGCCAAGAACTCCTTTGTGGTGGCACAGGCCTTTCATCCCAATACTTAGGAATCAGAGGCAGGCAGATTTCTGTGAGTGGAAGGCCAGCCTGGTCTACATGGTGAGTTCTAGACCAGCCACACATAAACAGTAAGACCTTGTCTCAAAACAGAGATGGAAAAAAAAAAAAAAAAAAAAAAAAAAAGAAATGTCATCCAAATCAGTATTATGCAAGTAGAATATTGGTATGTCCATGCACGTATGGAATGCACTATACACTGCTGCATTTTGTTCTATATTATCAGAATAAAAATGGCAAAGGTGACTTAGTGCTAAACACAGAGACAGACTAAAGTTTCAAGACTCTATTTCTTTTGTACCTGTATTGAAAAAAGAACTAAATTTAGACACTAAGGAACTGTGATGGGAGATGTCATCCTGTATATGTTTCTCATACTGGTTAATAATAAAGCACTGTTGGCCAATAGGAAAGGAAGATAGGAGGGACTAGGAGACAAGGAGGAAATAGGAAGTAGTAAGGAGGAGTCAAGATGGAGAGTCTGAAGAAAGCAGTATGCCGCCGGCTCCCTGGTAAGAGAAATACATAGATCAGCAGAAATGGGTTAATAATTAAAGGCAGAGCTAGCCGATAAGAAACAAGTAACCGGGCCAACAGCATAGTATCAAATACAGAGTCTCTGTGTATTATTTGGAGCTGGTGCGGCAGCAGGACAAGACCAGGCGGCGGCAGGGCGGAAAAACCATACAACCATACACATTACAGAACTGGGCAGAGAAAAACTGTTAAGTCAAAAATCTTTGCTTTGAAAATTTCTATGTCTGTGTCACCAATGGGATGAGTTTCAAAGGCCCTCCTTCCCTCACTACTCCTCTACTGAAGAAAGAAAAACCATCTTGACTTTAAACTCTTTACATAGATTCATTATATCCCTGATTCTTATACTGAATCATAGTTAAAATACACTAGAAAATCTCTTTAAAGTATATGTGAAGTTTCTGCTCTGAAGCAGAAAAAATATTTAACTATGTCATCTTTTCTAATTTTATTTACAAAAGCTAGTGTTTATTGTAAAAGTCTCCAGTGTTTTAAAATACTATCTCAGGGGCTTTAGAGATGGCTCAGCAGTCAAGAGCACTTGTTGCTTTTGCACAGGACCCAAGTTCAGTTCCCAACATGCAGAAGGCAGCTAACCACCATCTGATATCTTCAGTTCTAGGGGATCCTTTACTCCCTTCTGGCTTCCAAAGGAATTAGCAATCATGAGATACATGCAGACAAACACTCATACACATAACATAAACATAACTTAAAAAAATAAGTATTTCAGAGGGAGGGGTAACTGTTGCCGGGATGTAAAATTATAAACAAATATCTCACTACAATGAGTAATATGCATCATTGAAAATCTTTATAGAGACCTACTAAATGGTTCCAATGAACAAAATGCTATTTAAAAAGGAAGGAAGGAAGGAAGGAAGGAAGGAAGGAAGGAAGGAAGGAAGGAAGGAAGGCAGGCAGGCAGGCAAAAACCTGTTTGTGGTATACTCAATGACTCAACCTCCAGTCAGTGTCAACCTCAAGTGTCAATGCTGTAATGTGTAGGCACAATTGACAAAACAGAATCCATACTGTTAATAGACCATGCAAATGGCCCCAAAATTACTTCTACTGCTTTAACCATTTAAAGCCCAAATATATAATAAATAATAAGTGACAGGAGGGTTTGATGGATATTCTCTGATCTAGTTTTTCTTGTAATATTTATACACTTTCTGTAGTAAGATGTAGCGATGCAACCAACGGATTATGGAGAAATCACCATCTCAGAAGAGACCACTATTCACAAATGGAAGCACTTAAAAATCTGTATTATTAAGGGGCTGGAGAGATGGCTCAGCTTCCACAGGACGCGGGTTCACTTCCCAGCAACCACATGGTGGCTTCACAATAGTCTATAACTCTAGTTTCAGCACCAGGTAACATTCGCAGACATTAGAAAAAAAAATCTGGGAGTGGTGGCTGGTCGGTCAAGGGAGTTGAGGCAGCTGGACCGTAGAGTTTCGGCCAAATACTTCAGCACATGGTGAATTCTTAGCCAATTTGAAATATAGAGTAGGACCTGTCTTAACTGCCCCACCCCAAAGTTCTGTTACTCCTCTTCAGCCCAAAGCAAAAGTTAAAAAACAAAACAAAATTAAAAAAAAACTCACACATCTCTGTCATTCTAGACATTTATTTCTCCAATATTCTCTTCTCGTAAAAAATACTGACTCATCTACATAGAGTACCCCATATGAAAGGCCAGAGGACCTTCTGCCAAATTTGGGTGGGTCACAGCCACAAAACTATAAACACCGAAGTCATGGAGAAACTTGGCGCGCCTTCCTAACCTGAGAACTCCCAACGACACACCGGAATGTCTTTTAATCTTTCGACCGTGTGATGCTCCCGGGGCTGTCCCTCGGCCCCATGGCGATTCCAGAGCCTATCGCGTCTTCAGCGGCCGGAAGGAAGCGACCGCCGCTCACACGCCCGCCCGCCCGCCCGCGCGTCCCCCGAGTGCCCTTGGGCCAAGCGGCGCCCGGCCGCAGGCTGCAGGGCCACTCTGCCCGCCGAGCGCCCGAGACCGGAGGGAAGCACCCGGCGGCCGCTTCCTATCCTCTGACACCCACAGGCCCTCGGCCCGGCCAGGCCTCGCGATCGCGGCCTCATCTCACCTGCGTACCCACCACGACGATCTGGGGCAGCTGTATGATGTCGGCGCCCACCGTGTTGAAGACGTCCTGCAGTTTATTGATGACCGGGATTAGCGCCTCCATGACTCCGAAAACACGGGACCTCCACCCAGCAGGCCACTGCAATGAATGGGGACGCGGCCCACAGCCCGCTTGCTTCCTCTTCTCCTCCTCCCTCTCCTCGGGAGCCCGCACCCATTGGGCCGGGCAGCCACCTCCCAGCCAGCTCCCGGCATGCCGTGCGCCACGCAGGAGATGGGGACGCAAAGACTGCCGGGAGATGTAGTTCAGGCTGAGTGGAACGCGGAGGCCTATTCCTTTCTGGTTTTGACCTGAGCCAGGAGGATGTGGAGGCTGCAGCAACGATGTTGAGTCTGCTCCCACTCAAAACGCTAGGAAACAGCTAGACGCACACTGGTTGTTAAAGTGGTAGATATGAGTATGTCTCCGGAAGTCGGAGCACACACCTGTAAACCAGCCCTGAGAGACTTAGGCAAGAGGATGACAAGGTCTGCACTACATGTTGAAATCTTGTTTTTAAAAGGAAAAAAAAAAAAAAAGGAGTCTATAGATAATTAACCAATGTCATTTCCTTATAAGAACACCTTACGAGGTGTACTCAAGGACAGTTTAGGAAAATTTAAAGTATGTCTTTACCCCAGTCTACCCTCCAACTGGACAGACTAACGTGGCTTTCAGCTTTGGCAGAGAAGTTCTTTTTGCAGAGGTTAATGCATAGAGTGTATATGGTTAAAGTTCTGGGAGTGAATGATGAGTTCTCAGCCTTAAACTAGACATCCATATCACACATATCATCCAAGGCTCAGGATAACAATGAAGACAGAAAAAGAATTTAAGAGATCAAGGACGGGGGGTGGAGGGGGTGGGGAGGAGGAATTGTGAAATGCTGCCATCTACTTATGAAGCTTATGTTGCAGCAGCCATGAAGAAAGTAGCTATAAATACCTGCACAGGACTGGGCACTCCAGCTATCTATTGTGGGTAAAGGAAATGCCCATGACGCTCCATCCTTTCTTAAACAGCAATGACTGCTTATGTTCGCTGGAATTGGAGTTATTTTCTCCAATAGCATATCCACTGGTGCCAAAAAGTAGGAAGAAAAAGGGATCCCAGAAGAGAAAGTGGGGGCAGATATCAGAGGGCTGGCTATTAATATAATCACAATGTACTGGATTTATATGAGATTGTCAAACACAAACAACTCAGAGCCATAAATTCACCTCTGGCCTGAGAGGAATGAAAAGTCAAGTAAAACTTTCTGGAAGTTTGTAGACTTCAGACCCTGATGACAATGGCCACTCATGAAGTTGTGGATTACATAATTAGAGAGGTTTCCATTGACATGCAACATACACCATAGTCATAGAGGACATATTTGACTTGTTCAGCAAACAAATGGTGAAAAATGAGATGAACATAGTTTGTCCACTTATGTCTGGATCTTTAATTTGATTGATTTCACTGATAAACATGTCTGTATTTATGCTAATACCATGCTGTTTTTATTATTATAGCTCTATAGTACAATTTGAAATTAGGAATGGGGATACCTCCAGTAGTTCATTTATTATTTAGGATTGTTTTAGCTATCCTGGGTTTTTGTGTTTCCATGTGAAGTTGAAAATTGTTCTTTTCAATTTCTGTAAAGATTGTATTGGAATTTTGATGAGGATTGCATTTAATCTGTAGGTTGCTTTTGGCGGGATGATCATTTTTACCATAATAATCCTACTGATCCATGAGCATGGGAGATATTTCCATCTTCTATCTTTTCCAATTTCTTTCATTTGCTGGTTAGAGGCATCCAAAGTTTTTTTGTTTTTTAGAATATTGTGAAAGGTGATGTTTCCTTGATTTCTTTCCCATTTGTCATTTGTATATAAGAAGGCTACTTATTTTTGTGTATTAATTTTGGATATTATGACTGTTCATTGCAGTGGTTCTCAACCTGTGGATTGTGACCCCTTTGGAGTTGAATGGCCTTTTTACATGACCATTGGAAAACACAAATATTTACACTATTGTTCATAACAGTAATAAACTTACAGTTATGAAGTAGCAATAAAATAATTTTATGATTGGCGTCTGTATTAAAGGATCACAGCATTAGGAAGGTTGAGAATCACTGGTTTCTTGGCTATAGAAGTTTCCTGGTGGAGTTTTAAGGATCGTCTATGTATAAAATCATACCATCTGCAAATAAAGTTACTTTTGACTACTTTCTTTTCTTTCTTCCCTTCCTTTCTTTGAGATAGGCTTTTCTATCTAACAGCTCTGGCTGTCCTAGAGCTTTCTCTGTAGATTAGGCTGGCCTTGAACTCACAGAGATTTGGCTGCCTCTGCCTCCCAAGTTCTGGGATTAAAGACTTGTGACATTACCATGCATCTTTCTTTTTTATTTTTATCTCCTTATCAGTTTTAGTTGTCTTATTGCTCTAGATAAGACTTTAAGTACTATATTGATAGGTATGTAGAAAGTGGACTGTACCATACTTAAAAACCTGAAAGAAATGGATGCATTTCTTGATATATCCAACCTACTAAAGTTAAATCAAGATCAAATAAACAATCTAAACAAACCTATAAGCCCTAGTGAAATAGAGGCAATAATTAAAAGTTTCTCAACCAAAAAAGTCCAGGACATTTTCCTAAATTCTGTAACTCTAACCATTGCTGTTTGCATGGGTTTAGTGGAAATGTTTTGTTTTTCTCTGTTTAGGTTGATGTTTGGATATAGGCTTGCTGTATAATGCCTTTATTATACTGAGGTATGTCACTTGTATTCTTAGCTTATCCAGAACTTTTATTGTGAACAGATTGTATTCTGTTGGATTTTAAAAATTCATTAGATGTTTCTACATCCAATGAGAGGATTATGTGTATTTTTTTCCCAATCTGTTTACTTGGTGAATTAACTTATTTATTTACACACATTGAATCATCCTGCATCTCTGAGATGACACTAACTTGATCATGGTGGATAATATTTTTGATATCTTCTTGGATTCAGTTTGCAAGTGTTTTATTGAGAATTTTTGCATTTATCTATAATTTTATTTGTTGGGTCTTTGTGTGGTTTTGGTATCATGGTAATTGTGGTCTTATATAAAGAATTAGGCAATATTCTTTAAGTTTCTCAAAAAGCTAAAAATAAATCTACCATATGATTCAGCTATACCACTCTCAGAGTTCTTTAGTGGTATGTCAGGAGCTGCACTCATAAAATCTTACTCCATATATATATGTATATGTATATGTATATGTATATGTATATGTATATGTGTGTGTGTGTGTGTGTGTGTGTGTGTGTGTGTGTGTATCTCAGAGGTCATAAGAAACAAACAATACTATGACAAGTAGTCAAAAGGGATCTGAGAAAATGCTACAAAATCAACAAAATGGCAGTAATTTTTTGATAACTGAATATGACAAAGACTACTCAAATGAATAAGAAAGTAGTGTCCTCCTTTTGGCTACCTCCTAGAAACACTCCAATACCAGTAATAGATGCTGCTTTAGGGTAAAAAGCTGGAAAAAAGGTATTCCAAACAAATAGAGCCAAGAAACAAGAAGTTCAAATCATAACTTCACATAGGAATTACCAGAATCACTCACTGGTTAGTCCAATTGTCAGCAACTCTACTCACTGCTGGGATCTTGGACTGAGTTAGCGCTCCACAGACAGACCCATCCCCTGCCTACCCAACTATCAGCCACTTCACCCCCACGGCATCAGCCTGAGACCATGTGGAGTCTGAACCCAGGGTCCAAACCAAAACTTTAATCAGATACTAGCAGAGACAGTAGCAGTTCCCTTTCCTGCCTGCTTGTTAGCCACCCCATGTACACTGGGCTCTGGAAACACATGGAGCTGGACTTGAAATCCCAGTTAAAGGCACCCAGATCCAGCTGATTTGCTAAGTCACTGGAGCATGTGGATTCCGACCCAAAATACTCAGATTCAGGCCCTACTTGCTGCCTGCTCACCTATCAGCTATTTAATGCCTTATGCTAACCTAGAATTGCATGGAGTATAAACCCAAGGCCCCAAAGTGGCTGCAATACTGAAAACCAAACATTCACTTGACAGATTTGGGTAACAGCAAACAAAGGTACAAACACCCACCTAATAAAAGCAAGACTAGACATCCACAACAAGTAACACCAAGGAAGAGAGAATAGTCAGTCACTTAAAAAAAAAAAGTCTAAGAATAAAGAAAGCAAACCCCCAAACCTGGCAGTTTAGTTATATCTAATTGAGTTGTTGGTTGAAAGGGACCCACAGGAATCTCCAAACAACCAAAGTTGTGGTTGTTGTCAAGACTATAGGTTGTTCCCCACAAACTGACAGCAAAGCCCCATTACAGAAGACAACACCTACACAACTCATTGAACATGGAGATCTCAACTTGGTGCTAATAGAGCCTTCACTCTAAATTCCAGTGTCCTTATTACAGGAAGGTACTCTGCATGCTTTCAAAAGAGAAATGTAAACTCCAACCAAACCACAAACCCTTTACTGACAATAGTGTACTGCCTGCAAGATATGCTGGGGCAATGGTGGCACAAAACTTGTGGGAGTACCAACCAATAACATGTTCGACTTAAGGTCCACTCCATGAGATTAAACTCATATGCAACACTGCTTGGGTAACCAAGAACCTGAGATTAGATAGCTCAGGGACCTAGGGCAAAACCAAGAAATACTGATCTTTAAAAGTGTAATGGGGCTGGAGAGATGGCTCAACAGTTGAGAGCACTGGTTGCTCTTCTAGAGGAACAATTCCCAGCATTGACATAGCAGCTCATCACTGCCTGTAACTCCAGCTTCAGGGGATCCCACGCCTTCACACAGCAGACATGCCAGCTGTCTGCAAAGGAAAGGCCATGTGTGAGTTTTGGACACCCTGAGCTTGGAGTTATAGAGTTTTGAGCTGTCATTTGGGTGCTAAGAATTAAACTAAGTCCTCTAGAAGTGAAGACAGTGATTTTAAGCACTGAGCCATCTTTCCAGTCCAAGTGGATTATATTATTATTATTATTGCTATTATATAGTAGTAATAGTAATTTCTAAAGAAGAGAATATTAAGGTAGGAGGAGGAATTTTGGGAGAAGGAAGTCCAGGGAATTTGAGAGTAGAAACTTGTGTTGGATATGATCAACATACATTGTATACAATCTATGAAATTGTCAATGACTGAAAAAAAAAGAAATTGT